TATATATATATATATATATAAAACATTTTATATTTGTGTGTGTGTGCATGCATGTGTGTGTGTGTGTGTGTATCATCTATAAACAGCAGATGGGGTGACAATAAGCTGCTACTTGTAGGCCCCCACTGGGTCTCAATCTCCATGTTGCTTTGCTGCTCTTAGTTCATTTTAATTTACTTCTGCATGAGATGAAGCCCTCTTCCCCACTCTGGAATTTTTCTTACCCTCTGGTTGTGACATACCTGATCTCGCCACTCACTCCCTAATGACTCTGAGGGAGCAGCAGAAACTAAATGCCAGTGGTCCAGGAACCCGGGCATGTGCCATCTGCCCCTTATTCCCTCTCTCTCTCAAGAACTGGAGCTGGCTCTCTGCTTGGCTCCTCCATGCTATGACTTGTCCATAGGGGTTCACCCAGGTGAACGTACCCCATGCTTCCAGCTTCCTCATGCCCCCCTGTCCTTCTGCACCTGTCCACTTCGAATCTGGAAACTCTGACATGCAGGTGCTCCCTGGCTTACAAAATGGAACAGGTTTTATGGGCATCATTGTCTCCTCTTTTACTTAACTCATAGACAAATATCCAGATTTTGAATTATATTGTACAGCTTCTTCATCTGCTGTTGATTTCTAGGACTCCTTCGCTCTTCGCTGGAGTGGCAGTACAGATGGAGAGGTCTTAGCTTCCCATCACATGAACACAGGAGGAAACCTCTGGAAGACTCACCTCTGGCACGCCTTCCCTACCACATGCTCTCGGCATTGGCATGCTCCAGAGTGCCCACTGCACACAGACGTGAGTGCCCCGCCAATGTCACACTGACACCCTGGAAGTCAGGAAACAGCTGTGGTTACCCACCATACCATCCCCATACTGAACACTTCCCTCCCTCTACAAGAAAGGAACACTAAAAATCTCAGGGTTACAGCACCGCCTCTCTTCCAATCACACCTTGTATCTGGCAGGGGTTTGAAATAGGCAGGAGTCTTCCTAGTGGCAATGGCCTGTCCCTCCAAAAGTCCACTTCTAAGTTGGAGATGCATGACCCCAGGCCAGTTGGAACACAGATGCCCAATGTGAAGCTAGCGATAGACCAAGAGCTGAACTAGATTTGGAAACAGTACTGTTGTAAATAAGGTATAAACTAAGAAGGGGCCACGTGAGTCATTCAAGGGTAACCTTCAAAGGGCCAACTGTTGCTGTGATTTCGTTATTTAATACAACCCTATCTCCAAAAGTCTGGCTTTTCTGATAATACAAAGTACAGTTTTAAAGTCACTAAGTCTTGATGTTTTTTATAACATTAACAGATATCTTCCCATTCCAGGTATATTTCTTTTAATAGTGTATGATAGAAGAGAAGTGGAAACAGCCCCATTTGCAATTTATGACTAGTATCAACCAAATATTTGGCCCAATGCCCCAGAGTATTTAAGCACATCCCAGAAAATCAGCCTGAAGACAGCGAACACAGGAGAAAGGTTATTCTGACAATCTGTGTCCTTCGACGCTTTGCTCTGCTCAGGACACCCTGGATGTAGGTACTACCTTGACATCCAAAGTAATTTCTCTTTTCCAAAGCGAAATATCCATCTTCACAAGTATCACAGGCATCACCGCTCACAAGGACCTTGCAGTGACAGTCACCGTCTCCCTGTAGAACAATGAGCCAGATGACAAAATTTGATACTGTTAACAGAATTCATCTTCAAGATTGAAAACTGGCTCGTTGTATAATAGGCACGCCTGGAGAAGTAAAAACACGCTCCCCAGGAACTCCTCAATCAATTGCTCCACATCCCATTGGTCTATGAAAACTGGCCCGCATTACCTGCCCACATTACCTGCCCACACTCTCCAACTCCACTCACTGTTCCTGCCTCATGGCACTGGCACTCTGTGGAGATAAGAAAGTGTCCTGAAACCAAGGGTCACTCAAAAGACAGCTCCCTGGCTCTGGGCACATTTCACTTCTGCAATACAACACTTTCAGGTAGACTTTCCTGCACCCTTCAGCATCGATACCAATTGCACTGTGAGGCCTAAAATTGGATGGCTTTCTGAGGCTAGCAGAACAGACCAACAAACATGATCCATCTAGGAAGATGGTTAGTTTATGGCTATTCCAAGACAAAACTGCAACATCATGGGATTTGAATGTCAAGGTCATTGTTGATGTACTTGCATGAAAATGTACTCTATTTAAAGACACTCACTTCAGCTGGTGCAGTGGTGCACACCTGTAATTCCCAGTTACTGTGGAGGCTGGAGCAGGAGGATCATAAATTCAAAGCCAGCCAGGGTAACATAGGGAGACCCCATCTCAAAAAAAGATATACAGCCGGGTGTGGTGGCACACGCCCGTAACCCCAGTAGCTTGGGACGCTGAGACAGGATCGCAAGTTCAAAGCCAGCCTCAGCAATTTAGTGAAGCCCTAAGCAACTTAGTGAGACCCTGTGACCCTGTCTCAGAATAAAAAATGTGTTAAAGGGCTGGGGATGTAGCTCAGCGATGAAGTGCCCCAGGTTCACTCCCCAGCACCAAAAAAAAAAAAAAAAAAACAGAGAGAGAGATTCAGGGCTGAGGATGTAGCTTGTGGTAATGCACTTGCCTAACAGATGTGAGGCCCTAGGTTAGATCCCTAACACTATAAAAAATAAAAAGAGAGAAATTTGCCTAATTTAGTACATTTAACCTGCTATGTTCAACTTGTTATCCTGGTTTCAATACATGTATAAAATTATAATAAAATTAAGCCAGAAAGAGTGAATCATAGAAACAAAGAGGTAAAAAAAATATTTATCAAGAAATTGCTGTTACAGACAATAAAATACATATGGAAACAGGATGAAAATCCCTCGCTGAGATTTTTGAAAATGACAGAAATTCTGCCAAAAGTGTCAGGGGAAGACATCAAACACTGCACAGTAGGGGTGCATAGGTGAATAATAAATCTATAAATCAGAACAAGGCACCGAATAACACACACACAAAATTACACAGGATTTTGGACAAATCAAATTGCTTCAATAAATGGCTTTTTGTGAGTTTATTTATTGAAACAGAGAAAATTAAGAGGAAGTTACAAAATAGGAAGTGATGGTGTATAAATACTTTACCTGAACATCCACTGGGATTTTCTCTGGCCAGATTCCAATATAATGGTTTGCAGATACTACAAGTAGGACTTTCCACATGAAGCTTGCATTGGCAATACCCCTTAAAATGCAAATCAAACTAACATTTGACATCTTGGAATTAAGACCTGTTTTTAAAACAGTGTTCTGGGTAAAGGCTTGTCACAGAAATACAATATGGCCATGAAAAGTAAATTAAGTGTTTCCAGGGGGAACAACAGCACTGGACTAATTTCAACAGTCTAATTGCTTTTTGTAAAGTTCATTTACTTGTTACACATATAATCCACATTTGCTATTAAAAAGAAATAGGGAAAGTACAGAGAGAAAAAAAATAAATGTCTTTCTTATAATATTCCCGGTGTCTGTTGATGCTGTTACCATGTGGAATACAAATTTACATGGAAACGAATCTGAATACGCATGATGCTTGGAATCAGTAAAGAATGGTATTTTACTAAGAACGTTTTTATAATATGTAAGATTCACTGCCTGGGGCTGGAGTTGTGGCTCAGTGGCAGAGCACTTGCCTCACACGTGTGAGGCACTGAGTTCAATCCTCAGCACCACATAAATAAATAAACAAAGTAAAGATATTGTGTCCAAGTATAATTATATATAACTATTATAACTATATATATAACTATAACTATAACTATATATATATATAAAGATTCACTACCTGGCTTTAATACTGTCAAGCCTCATAATAAGAACGGCAAAGCATCTGTCCCTCTGTCCATCTAGTGCCTGAAATCACATCTCTAGGCCATGAGACCAAGAAGAGAGGTCATTTCTAAAGACCCTAGAAAACTTCAGAACACCACACTATGTGCTTAGAATAATAAAAAAAGAAATGGGGATTGCTTTGTGTACAGCCCATTTTATTTAATTTGTCCTTGGCTACTGAAGGAGCCTTGGCAGGACTCCATAGTGGCAACACCATCGGAGTATCTTACAGTAAAGGTTAAGCCCGAAGACTCCAGAATAAAAAATTTAATTAAACCATATTTGTTATTGGAGGAAAAAAAACACAAAATCATAGGCATTTTGAAAGAAAAAAAAAAACACCGACCTCTTTAAGCAACGTGTGCCTTATTTCAATTTAGTTTTAATTTCAGAAAGCTCCCACACGGTTAGTCTTGAGTAAGATTCAGAACAATAAGAGCTGCCAACTTTATACACATCCCCTACTTACCAAGCTGGAGTCGATGGTACCAGCTGGGTCACAAGCACCACTGGAACCTGTATATGATTTAGAGATGTTTTAAAAGTCTGACAGTTAATGGTTTCCATGTTTCAAGTTTTAAAAGTTCTGCTTCTTTTTAAAAATGGCACACCTGTATGTATGTTTTGATAAGTGCAAGGCAAAGGGAGTCTTCCTGAATAATCCTTCATGATCCTTAATCCCAAAGTGCCCCCTTTGTCACGGAACAACTCTATTCCTTGTCCACTAACAAAATTTCATTGCTACTTGATGAAACAAATTGAGGGGAATAAAATTTTAAGCACATTTACAATCGTCCAGAAGAGGGCAATATTACACCAAGAGATGGTCACTTGTTACAGGATTTATTTATAAGTTTGTCCTTGAGTTAACCAAGCGTTAATTCTTCAATTATCAAGCCCCCTTGTTTCCCACCTGCATTAAAGTTCTTTTAAAATTTTGTTCTACTTAGTTATTTATGACAGTAGAATGTATTTTGACACATCATACATAAATGAAGTAAAACTTCTCACTCTTCTGGTTGTACATGAGGAGGAATTACACGGGTCGTGTAGTCACATGTACATGTAGGGTAATAATGTCCGATTCATTCTACGATCCTTCCTACCTCCACGCCCCCTCCCCTAAAGTTCTTTATAAAATCAGTTAGTGTTCCTGCCCCCATCATCAGAGCATTGGGGGCCTGATAAAATCTTTCTTCAATCAAGCGCTTGGCATGTCTCAGAGAGCTGTAAACAGGTTGGGTTCAGCCTATTCCGAGCCTGGTTTTTGAATCATTTAAACAAATCCATGATGATAACATGTTTCCTTATAAATTGTCCCTTAGCTTTCTGTTTTCGTTTCCTCTTTGCCTCTGCCTCAGCTTCTCCTTGATCTCTCCCTCCTTCTCTCTCTCTCCTTCTCTCTCTGTTCTGTTCTTCTCTGTTTCTCTAACAGCATGACTTTCTCCTCTTGCTGTTCACCCTGGCCCCTCCTGGCCTTGAGTGCCTCGCTAGGACCAGGGCTGCTGCCTAGTACCGGGATGGCTGGGGCTGCTCCGCTTCTCTGCTGCAATTTCTCCCACTCCTGATGTCCACGCAGGCACATCCTACTCTAGGATTCCCTTACCTTCCAGGGACCCTCGGGCCTTCCCAGGCGAGAGCAGCCCCTCTGGCTGGTACCTGAAATTTCCACTGTCAGGAAAACCTGGTCTTGAGGATTCTGGTGAGGAAGGTTCTAGGCAATGAAGTCTGTGCTACAGCCTGTACCAGTAGGCTCTAGGCACCACGGCTCCAAGTGGTTATGAAGAGCACAAAGGGATCCGAGGAAACCACGTTCTTCTGGTGGGAAATCTGGGTCTCCTGGGTCAGCCTCACAAGTCTCTCTCTCTCTCTCTTTTTTCCCAGTACTAAGGATTTAACCCAAGGGTGCTTTGCTGCTGAGCTACATTCCTAGCCCATTTTTGATTGTTTTGTTTTAAATTTTGAAACAGGGTCTCACAAAGCTGCTGAGGGCTTCACTTAGTTGCTGAGGCTGGCCTTGAACTTGCCATCCTCCTGCCTCAGCCTCCTGAGTCATTGGGATTATTGGCGTGTGCCAGTGTACCAGCACAAGTCCCTCTTTTAACAGAGCAAGAGACCTTTGAAATCACCAGGAGCTCCTGGCCCACACTGGAGGCTCCCTTCACCAGGGAGCTTGGGAAGGACACAGGCAACTCATTTCTGCCCCCCTGCCACATATCACACCCAACTCACTTTCATTCTCAGGTTTCCATCTGCTCCTTGGCTCACTCTTTCCTGACTGCATGGGCTTCAGTGTACCCCAGGTCCCTCCCCTTGTGCCAGTGCTGAAGTGTGATGACAGTCCTTCAGGAGATCAGAGGCAGGAAAGGAGCAAGGGCAGAAGCACAGCCCAGGCCTCACCCAGCCCTCAGCAAGGGGCCTGGTGGAAAGACCCCAGTGCCTCCCATCAGTGATGAGAGCCAGTAAGGACAGCAGGCCTTACTCTGCCTGGGCACAGGGGCCAAGATCGCTAGGTTAAGCTCAAAGAAGTTGCTTTTGCCACACTGTTATACACAGAGAACTGACAAGTAATTTAAAAACCCAGATATATATTACATGAGAATTAATTTTTTTTTAGTTAGAAGCAAACAATCCTTTGTGAATAATGATGCTTATGTGAATATGTGAGATATGTGTTTTCAATGGACTTGAACTGGGGCAGATAGAGTCAAATGTGTCGGGGTGACTGTGGATGGTCGCAGCTTCTCTGGGAGGTTGGCTTCACACACAGAGAGAAACTGACTCTCCAGCATTCTGCTGGCTTCTCTACCTTGACAGTAGGGGAAGTCATAGGCTCCTGAGAGACATCTGTCACACCGCTGTCCTGTTATCCCTGGCAAGCATTCACACTGTCCAGTCACCGGGTGGCAAGGCATTGGGTAGGATCCAAGGGCTGAGCACTGGCAGGCTGGGGGAAAAGAAATCAGTCAGACTCAGAGCCTGGGCTGTGGAAGGGGCTGTCTCTCCTCTGACCTTCTCCTCTGAACTTTTTTAGTCAGAGGATTTCACAGCATCCCGGATCAGACCCCTGGAGTGGGGCCACAAACACCCAAATGCAAGTTCCAGCTCCATCTCTTATTAGACCTAGAACCTGGAACTATCTGCTCAACTCATATAAACCTGTTTCCCTTCCCATAAATACGACTGACACTAGCATCTACTTGATAAGATTGTTGTAAGTATTAATGAATACTAGAAAGAGCTGGGATACCTACTATTACAGTGGCCACTCAGGAAACACTAGATTCTATTGTTATAACTTTGTATTCAGCCAGATTGGCTGGTGACTGGCGAGGGTTTGGGGGATGCTTCTCACACACAGCAATGGTGTTCATAAGAGAAGAATGACAGGGACAGCTGATGGGAGATGTGACTCATTGAAGGATCCACTCCAACTCTACACTCTACTGGGAATTGAGTGCAAACCACTCCAACCCAGATCAGCCTGTAACTGAACCCCTGTTTTCCTTTGTCCTCCTCTCTTCATATCTATTTTCTCAAGGTCTAGTGGAGTTAAATAATCAAGGAAAAATGTTACCCAGCAGGAGTTGGAATGGATGGAAAAGGCATTCCAGTATCCTTTGCCCAGCCTCAATCTGTTACCATCATCTTTGGCAAAGGGGGTGAATGCACACTTGTAGGTGGAGAGAAGAGATTCTGGCCACTCTCCTCTTGGCTCCTTTCCCACTGAACCCTGCAGGGCTGGAGTTGTTGAGTGTTACTCCCATTAGAACTGTGAGCACCCTGCTCCTGGATTGGTATGCACAGAGGATACAACCCAGCTAACTTCTTCAACCAGAGGGTCTCACATCTTAAGAATGAAAGGAACTGGAAAGATCACCACATTGTATTTCACCACAACATGGTGAAGATCAGAAGTTAAGTGGCACTCTCAGAGTCACCAAAGTATTCTGTAGCAAAGGGCTTCTACCTCTGGGGTGAGACACATCTGGATCCAAATACCAGCTGTGCCACTTGTTATGCTTTAGATGTGGTATCCCCAAAAAACTCACATGTGAGACAATGCAAGAAGATGTGGAGGATAAATGATTATTTGTAGGTGGAGAGAAGAGATGTTATATTCATTATGATTGGGTTATAGCTTTAACCTAATCAATGAATTAATCCCTGATGGGATTAACTGGATGGTGGCTAGAGGCAGGTGGGGTGTGGCTAGAGGAAGTGGTTCATTGGGGGCATGGCTATGGGGTATATATTTTGTATCTGGAGGGTGGAGTCTCTCTTTCTCTGTCTGCTTTCTGATCACCATGTGAGCTGCTTCCCTCTGCCACACTCTCCTGCCATGATGTCCTGCCTCACTTCGAGCCCCAAGGAATGGAGCCAGCCTTGTATGGACTGAGACCTCTGAAACCATGAGCCCTCAAATAAGCTTTTCCTCCTTTAAAGTTATTCTGGTCAGATCTTATAGTCACAACAGCAAAAAAGGTGACTTAAGCACCACTTAATAGCTGTACAGTCATTAGCAAGTTATTTAGTCTTTTAAAGCCTCAGTTTCCTCTCCTGTAAACTGATATAGAACCTACCTGATGAGATCATTAAAGAATTATCAGAAATGAGGTACAAGAAGCCCTGAGCATGATGTTTGGCAAAGAAGAAGTACCCAGTGTTTGTTCTTACTGATGTTGCTCTAAATACCAAACTCCCCCAGTGCATGGGGGGATGTTCCTTACACTATTCCACATTGAATTAATGGCAGTCAATGAATAAGTATTCCTGACATCCAAATTTATGATCAGAACATGCAGTTTAAAAACAATAACCACCTTTTTGCCAGTTCTCAAGAATTCCATACTAATTGAGACTTTGGGAAAGAAAAGAACTATACAGTAAAGTCTCACTTCTGATGTTTTATTTATAGGTACCCTTGGGATGTGAAAAGTCCCACATGACTAAGCCTTGGAGCACTTCACCCTTTGTGGGGACAAGACCATGCTGTTTTCATTGTTTGACAGGACTGTATGTGGTGATTTACCCTGAAAGTGCTTTTTAGTAATAGTAATAATGAAAAACAGAGTTTGCCCTTGTTTTCATTGGAATCATAAAATAAAATCTCACTAATGGAGGGGAACGGAGCTAGTTTTATCCTCTACAAATTACCTGAGAACTCTACAGGCTGTATGATTTGTTCAGAGTGACATGATTAGTGGCAGATTCAGGGAATTCACCACCATCCCACCCTATTTTATATCCATCCAACCAGCAGGTATTGATTGGCAACCTACTACATTTGATGACATCATGGCATGTGCTATGGTGGAGGTAAATACAAATATAGATATTCCCTGATCTCAAAGAGCTGGAGAATTACTGACATAGTATGAAGTGCCCGACCCCACGAGAAACTAAATGTGAGAAACATGCCGAATGCTCTAGCAGATGTTGAAAGACAGCAGGACAAGGACTGTTATTTCCTGCTGCCATCCCTGTAAGTGTCCTCTCATGACACTGTGGCCCCACCAAGCCTGTCTGCAGAGATTAAGCCCCTACCTAGTGGCAGGTTTCTGAGCAAATGCTCTTGGACTCTGTGCTGGTTAAATTCTATGAGTCACCTTGACTAGGTAGGCTGTGGTTGGTACCTAGATGTTTGATCAAACACTAGTCTAGAGGTGCCACGAAGATATTTTTTAAATGAATTAATTAACATTTAAATCAGTAGGTTCTTGAGTAAAGCAAACTATATTCCATAATGCAGGTGGGCCTTATACAATCAATTGAAGGCCTTAAGAAAAAAAAGATTGATGAACCTCAAAAAGGAATTCTGCCTACATACAGCCTTCAGACTTGAGTTGCAAAATGAACTCTTCCCTGTGCGCCTCCCCTGCAGATTTTGAACTTAAGAAGCCCCACAGTTGTGTGAGCCAGGTCTTGAAATCGATCAACTCTCCACCCCACACACATACCCCAATTGGTTCTGTCTCTTTAGAAAACAGATTTTTGGCATTAAGAAGAATGTTTCTAGAGGAACAGAATCTTAAGAATGAGTTCTCTGAGTTGGTTTGGGGGTTTCTAGAATTAGTTTTCCAATATGATTAGATTTAGAGGCACTGATGGCTTTATTTTTAGCAGTAGCAAGAGGACTAGAAGTCCATGACTTGATGTGGCAATAGAGATACATACAAATATCATTATTGCATACTCCTTATCAAAGTTTATAGGAGGCAAGTTTCTGAGTGACTATGTATTTGCTTACTTAGAACATTTTTGTCAAACTAATGAGTATAATGAAGTAGGCTAGTTGTTCCTAATTTTACTGAACGAAGTTCAGAAAGAAAAGGGAAGGAGTTCTAGAATTGGAGTGTTTAGATAGGGCAGAGTATAAATGACTCGAAATTTTCTATGTCTTTCCCAGAAGAAGCCCTTTCTTATCTCTTATAGCCTCAGGGCTGAGACTGCTGAAAACCAAACCCAGAGTTTTCATCTTGTGAGTGGCTGAATCACAAGGCCAATCAAATTGCCAATGTTGCAGAATATGTGCCATTAAAAACGGGCATAATTGAGAAGGAATGGGATTCTGAAAAATTGGTTTGAAGACATATGGGAAGATCATGAAGAAGAGAGGACCCCGAACCCCTAAATTCCACAAGTCTTGTTTGCCAGTAGAAGCAGTCATTCCATTGGCATCTGAGTGGATCTGCTTTCCCTATAAAAAGTATAGTTTTCTTTAGATCGTTGACTTGCAAGACACTGAGGGCTTTCCTCTGGACCTGCCCTGCCACCTCTCTTTCCTTCTAGACTGATAACAAGATTCAAGTCCCAGCAAGTGCTGCACGGGAGGTACAAAGTGTGACCCATGATGAATTGTGCCACACTCCAAAATGATTTGTGATTTTTCAAGTTTAAACAGACATATGGCCGGGCACGGTGGCACATGCCAATAATCCCAGCAGCTCTGGAGGCTGAGGCAAGAGGATCACAAGTTTGAAGCCAGCTTCAGCAATGGCAAGGTGCTAAGCAACTCACTGAGACCCTGTCTCTAAGTAAAAATACAAACTAGGGCTGGGGGTATGGTTCAGTGGTTGAGTGCCCCTGAGTTTAATCCCTGGTACACCCCTCCCGCACCCCCCAAAAAACCACACATATGAAGAATATGTGTGAAATAGGTACTAAGGGTGTAGAAGCAGTTACTATTGAATTGGAAAACTTAAATACAGTGGGGACCCTGGAGTAGCAGGGCCAAATGGTAGCACCTAACCACCAAAAGTAAGATGGACATAACTAATGGACAACAAGTCAAAACAGCAAATCACCATCCTCTGACCCATAGAGATGGAGGGTGCTAGCTAGTTGATCATGGTGTCATGACATTTTCTCTAGACATTTTCTCTCCCAAGGAGTGTAAATAATAATAATAATAACAACAACAACAACAATAATGCAGGGTGAATTTCCCTTACCTTATCTGAAATACTTGGGTCAAGAAGTATTTTGGGTTTCAGATGTTGGAATATTTGCACATACATAATGCGATATATTAGAAACAGGACCCAAGTCTAAACATAAAAGTCATTTCTGTTTCATATACACCTGATATGCAAAGCCTCACGGTAACTTTATACAATACTTTTAATACACCTGTGTTTAGACTGTGACATGTCACATGAGGCCAGGTGTGACGTTTTCTACTTGTGGCACCATGCTGGCACTCATGAAAATTTCTATTTTGGAGTATTTTGAATTTTGGATTTTTGGATTAGGGATATTCTACCTATATATAACAACAAAAGTTCAAAGGGACAGAACTCTTGTCTGCTATGCTCCCCAATGTCTCCCAGCACCAAGCACAGTCCTGGTCCATACTGCATGCCAGGAGACATTTGTTCAAGGAGAGCATGAGCAACCACTAAGATCCTTCTACAGGCTCTGACCTGAATCTGTTCTTGATGTGTG